ATCAACAGACACCACAACTGTTACATGTGTCACCAGACACCACAACTGTTACATGTGTCACCAGACACCACAACTGTTACATGTGTCACCAGACACCACAACTGTTATATGTGTCACCAGACACCACAACTGTTGCATGTTGTGTCACCAGACACCACAACTGTTATATGTGTCACCAGACAACACAACTGTTACATGTGTCACCAGACACCACAACTGTTACATGTGTCATCAGACACCACAACTGTTACATGTGTCACCAGACACCACAACTGTTACATGTGTCATCAGACACCACAACTGTTACATGTGTCACCAGACACCACAACTGTTACATGTTGTGTCACCAGACACCACAACTGTTACATGTGTCATCAGACACCACAACTGTTACATGTGTCACCAGACACCACAACTGTTACATGTGTCACCACACACCACAACTGTCACATGTGTCACCAGACACCACAACTGTTACATGTGTCACCAGACACCACAACTGTTACATGTTGTGTCACCAGACACCACAACTGTTACATGTGTCACCAGACACCACACCTGTCACATGTGTCACCAGACACCACAACTGTTACATGTGTTACCAGACACCACAACTGTTACATGTGTCACCAGATACCACAACTGTTACATGTGTCACCAGACACCACAACTGTTACATGTGTCACCAGACACCACAACTGTTACATGTGTCACCAGACACCACAACTGTTACATGTGTCACCAGACACCACAACTGTTACATGTTGTGTCACCAGACACCACAACTGTTACATGTGTCACCATACACCACAACTGTTATATGTGTCACCATACACCACAACTGTTACATGTGTCACCAGACACCACAACTGTTACATGTATCACCATACACCACAACTGTTACATGTTGTGTCACCAGACACCACAACTGTTACATGTGTCACCAGACACCACAACTGTTACATGTGTCACCAGACACCACAACTGTTACATGTGTCACCAGACACCACAACTGTTACATGTATCAACAGACACCACAACTGTTATATGTGTCACCAGACGCCACAACTGTTACATGTGTCACCAAACACCACAACTGTTACATGTGTCACCAAACACCACAACTGTTACATGTGTCACCAGACACCACAACTGTTACATGTTGTGTCACCAAACACCACAACTGTTACATGTGTCACCAGACACCACAACTGTTACATGTGTCACCAGACACCACAACTAGTACATGTGTCACCAGACACCACAACTGTTACATGTTGTGTCACCAGACACCACAACTGTTACATGTGTCACCAGACACCACAACTGTTACATGTGTCACCAGACACCACAACTGTTACATGTGTCACCAGACACCACAACTGTTACATGTATCACCAGACACCACAACTGTTACATGTGTCACCAGACACCACAACTGTTACATGTTGTGTCACCAGACACCACAACTGTTACATGTTGTGTCACCAGACACCACAACTGTTACATGTGTCACCAGACACCACAACTGTTACATGTGTCACCAGACACCACAACTGTTACATGTGTCACCAGACACCACAACTGTTACATGTATCACCAGACACCACAACTGTTACATGTGTCACCAGACACCACAACTAGTACATGTGTCACCATACACCACAACTGTTACATGTTGTGTCACCAGACACCACAACTGTTACATGTGTCACCAGACACCACAACTGTTACATGTGTCACCAGACACCACAACTGTTACATGTGTCACCAGACACCACAACTGTTACATGTATCACCAGACACCACAACTGTTACATGTGTCACCAGACACCACAACTGTTACATGTGTCACCAGACACCACAACTGTTACATGTTGTGTTACCAGACACCACAACTGTTACATGTGTCACCAGACACCACAACTGTTACATGTTGTGTCACCAGACACCACAACTGTTACATGTGTCACCATACACCACAACTGTTACATGTTGTGTCACCAGACACCACAACTGTTACATGTGTCACCAGACACCACAACTGTTACATGTGTCACCAGACACCACAACTGTTACATGTGTCACCAGACACCACAACTGTTACATGTGTCACCAGACACCACAACTGTTACATGTATCACCAGACACCACAACTGTTACATGTGTCACCAGACACCACAACTGTTACATGTGTCACCAGACACCACAACTGTTACATGTGTCACCAGACACCACAACTGTTACATGTATCAACAGACACCACAACTGTTATATGTGTCACCAGACGCCACAACTGTTACATGTGTCACCAAACACCACAACTGTTACATGTTGTGTCACCATACACCACAACTGTTACATGTGTCACCAGACACCACAACTGTTACATGTTGTGTCACCAGACACCACAACTGTTACATGTTGTGTCACCATACACCACAACTGTTACATGTTGTGTCACCAGACGCCACAACTGTTACATGTGTCACCAGACACCACAACTGTTACATGTGTCACCAGACACCACAACTGTTACATGTGTCACCACACACCACAACTGTCACATGTGTCACCAGACACCACAACTGTTACATGTGTCACCAGACACCACAACTGTTACATGTGTCACCAGACACCACAACTGTTACATGTTGTGTCACCAGACACCACAACTGTTACATGTGTCACCAGACACCACAACTGTTACATGTGTCACCAGACACCACACCTGTTACATGTGTCACCAGACACCACAACTGTTACATGTTGTATCACCAGACACCACAACTGTTACATGTGTCACTAGACACCACAACTGTTACATGTGTCACCAGACACCACAACTGTTACATGTTGTGTCACCAGACACCACAACTGTTACATGTGTCACCAGACACCACAACTGTTATATGTGTCACCAGACACCACAACTGTTACATGTGTCACCAGACACCACAACTGTTACATGTGTCACCAGACACCACACCTGTTACATGTGTCACCAGACACCACAACTGTTATATGTTGTGTCACCAGACACCACAACTGTTACATGTGTCACCAGACACCACAACTGTTAGGTGTCGCCATAGCAGGCAAAGAATGCACTGATAAGGCCCTAACGCCACCATCATTAAGACATTCCAGGACCCACTCCTTTGCCCTCCCCCCCACCCTACAGGATCTTGTCTGACTCCCCCACATTGTCTGCTCACCTGTACCTAATGACCCCACTAACACGTCATCCTAAGTCCTAGAGTTATGACAAAAGTTTTTTGAAGAAATATTTGAATAATTGTCCTTAAATTTACAATCTTAAAAATCACAAATAAATCACAACAAAACATTTTTTTTTCTTGTTGTGTGTGTTATTCTCAGTAGAAAAATAGAAATACAATTTTCTATTAAGTGAATTATCAAAACTTTACAGTACAATTAAATAGGCTCTTGTGGAGGGGTCTTTGATTTAGAATCTTCAAACACTAAATCATAGAACCAATCTTAACAGGTAAGCAATAGACCAATAGAAGGAGACCTAATGAAAATAGTTATTTATAGATTGATACTAATAATAGGCACTGGATTTTGCAGAGACCTGACATTATTGAACTGATATAATGGCCTATAAAGTTCTCATGGCCTTGCTATAAATAGATTTTTAAAAATTTCTATTCAGATCATTCTAAATATAAATATAGCATTTTATGTAGGAATGTGTAGATTAGAATAAAGTTATTTTGTATCAAAATAATATCAGGAAAATAAAATAACATACAAATTGAGATTTTTAGGAGGTAAATGCACAAAAAAGTGCTAGCACACAGACACACAGAGATGCACACACAGACACACAGTTGCACACACAGACAGTTGCATATACAAACATACACATCTTGATTATTTTAAACTGTTCTAAGGCACAAAGAAGATCACAGATCAGGATTGTGATTATAACAGCTATCACATTCTAATCAATGTAGATCTATATTAGATGTGATCAAAATAAGTAGCACAAAGTGACAATGGAGTTATAAGTTAGTTTAGAGTTAAACATTTCATACTGAGGTGGTAGAAGATGATGTTACCACTAGAATGTAGGGAGATGAACATTGAGGTCATAGCTAGAAACTGCTATCTAAATTACAATCAGTATGTTTATAGCTATATGCTGCTATCTAAACAGCCAACTGAATATCATGTTCATAGCTAAATAATGCTCTCTGGACAGCCAAATGAATATCTTGCATATAGCTATATAATGCTATTAAGAAAGCCAACTCAATATCATGCTCCTAGCTATATAATGCTATTTAGACAGCCAAATGAATATCATGCTCATAGCTATATGATACTACCTAAACAACAGCCAACTGAATATCATGTTCATAGCTATATGATGCTATTTAGACAACTAACTGAATATCATGCTCATAGCTATATGATACTACCTAAACAACAGCCAACTGAATATCATGTTCATAGCTATATGATGCTATTTAGACAACTAACTGAATATCATGCTCATAGCTAGATGCTAAGTAACCAATGGAACTTTATGTTCATATTTAGATCCCATCTGAACACAAAATTATAAGTTCACATTTGGAGACTTCATCTGTACAGTAGCCATTACACATGTAAGCTGCTCCAAAACTCCAACACTCCCATTACACATGTAAGCTGTTCCTACCACCAACACACCCATTACACATGTAAGCTGCTCCAACACACCCATTACACATGTAAGCTGCTCCAACACACCCATTACACATGTAAGCTGCTCCAACACACCCATTACACATGTAAGCTGCTCCAACACACCCATTACACATGTAAGCTGCTCCAAACTCCAACACTCCCATTACACATGTAAGCTGTTCCTACCACCATCACACCCATTACATATGTAAGCTGCTCCAAATGCCAACACAGCCATTACACATGTAAGCTGCCCCTACCACCAGCACAGCCATTACACATGTAAGCTGCCCCTACCACCAGCACAGCCATTACACATGTAAGCTGTTCCTACTACCAGCACACCCATTACACATGTAAGTTGTTCCTACCGCCAGCACAGCCATTACACATGTAAGCAGCTCCAAACTCCAGCGCAGCCATGGTGATTGTGTGTCTGTCTGTGAGCACCATGGATCCACCCTTGCGCTGGAAGACTGTGATGTCTGCCGTGGCTGTGTAGCTCTCCACGCAGCCTTGCTGGAAGCCGGCAGCTCCAGGAGCCGCCAGACAAGAGCTGAAGCTGTCTGGGCTAGCGGTCAGCACGAAGGTCACAGCACAGTCAAGGCCGTCAACTTTTAAGGTAGCTGTGCCGGCACAGCCGTTGTGCTCCAGACTGTGCACACTGTTGAGGGGGTGGAAGCTACAGGTGATTTCCTTACCTGGGTTCCTGTACCCTGACAGCTGAGCTTTCACGTCTATTTTAAACTCTGTGATGATGCCGGCAGAGAATGCAAACGACATGTTTTTCTCTGGGTCCGCTCCCTCAGCCCAAACCCAGGCTTTAGGGAAACTCTTGCCCCAGTTTTTCTCCATGTGAGCGATGACCGGTGACCCAGGGGTTGACCTGCCGATAACTTCCTCCCCCGTGGCCAGGTTCATGTACTTGTAGTACCTGACTTGAGAGCTGAGGCTGTAGACAAACCAGTGGACAGGTAGATGAAACTTCTCCAGAAAGCTCTCTGGACCTGCTCCGTTAGGGCCCCAGGGAACAGGCCTGAAAGTATAACCAGTCAGGAGATGATCTCCTAGCTGGACCTGGAACTGGGTGTGGTTGGGTGTGACAGTGAAGGAAACATTGGCGCCAATGCTGGCCTCAAACTGAGGAGGGCTGATGTCGTCTGGGTCTTCAGAGACTGGTTTGCCATTTTTGGTCACCTTGTAGAGGTCAGGACTGAAGTAGCCCCCTGGGGTGTCCAGCTTGGACTGGGGGTGGAGACTCAACAACAGACTGGCGTAAACTAAAGGCAGGCCAGTCTTCTCTGTCTGACCACCATCAGGTGTGAGTTGACCTGAGGAGTGCAGACAGCCAGACCCTGAGTTCTGACAAGCGCTGCTGTTCTTGAGTTCACCAGCATGTGCTGGCTCAACTCTCCCAAAGAGAAATCCAAGAGAAATATTTTGGGACTGGTCTATGATGCGTAAGTACCTAAAAAGTTTAAAAATAGAAATGCATATTCTATTGAAAAAAGTAAGAAAAATATATATTATTGTAAGGCTTAAAAGTAAGATAGTATATTTCAATTGGAAGATTTATAAATAAGATATTTGTCCTTTTTTTTTTATAAATTAAGACCTCAACATACAAAATACAATAGCTAAATGTATTTTGATTGAAACTAATCTTAAAATAATGAGATTACTTAAAATCACTATGTTAAACAACAGAGATAGTTTTAGGTTGGTCATACGAATGCCAGGTCTAAAATATATTTTGTTCCTCCAATATAAAATAACAATAATTAACATTTACTGTTGTTAGAATAATCATGAAGAAAGTCAAGACTACTCCAAAACTTCTAAATTACATAGATTATAAATAAATATATTAAACTAAAAATGTAAAGTAAATTTAAACAAGTAAAGTATTAAAACTTGGGTAAGCATTTAAGTTAAATTACTGTGGTACTTTCTGCAACCACATATATTTATGCTCAACACTGATTATCACATATTTGTAACAATTGCACTAAAAAATGTGAAATACACACCATCCCTACAACAACAAAAAAATTGGAATACACACCATCCCTATTACAAAAAAAATGTGAAATACACACCGTCCCTATTTTTTTAAAAAGTGAACTACATACCATCCCTCAAAGAATGGACCATGTTTTGGGTATACATGTGGGTCCATCTGATTAGCATGTCCATATTTCAATAGCACTTGAAGAACAAATAATATGGCAGTCACATGTTTTCCCAAGCTCTTGTGCTGTTTCAGATGAATGCCCATTGTGGTGCTTGATTCCCTCAAAGGTTGCAACAGCAGTTTTCTGGAGAGTATCACAGCTGTTTTCTTTAATTACTGTACCTTGAAGAACACAAGTAATGTATTTAGTTTACGGTACCTTAATATACCATAGCAGTTGAGCAACTATCAAGTGAAATATTCTGTAACAAAAATAAGAACTGTTAAATTTAAAATGAGGAAGTTAAATTAGTTGGTATTTAATTATGAAAAGGGATCCTACTATTTAAAAACTTAGAGTTCAAAGTTCACAACCAATATGTAAATTGTAATCATTAGCAGTACACACACATTTCTTGAGCATGAACTGCAGATAATGATAATAAAATTTTACTAATACCCTTAGCGTTAGGCACAAATTTCGGAATGCATCCACATTAAAAAAAACTAAAATGTGTCAAAAAGCAAACACAGAATTATTGGATGCTGGTGTGTAGCATGGTTGAATAGTAATATGGTTGAATAGTAATATGTATACGCTTTTCGGACCTAGCAGACTATCTGATAAGTCTACAGTGGCTATACGGCCAAGAGTCTTTTACACTATGAAAAAAATAATAAGGTCAGACTTTGGTACCGTAGTAACCTACGGGCTAACCATCATGCTCTCAATGTTGCCACATATGCATTTCTTAATATTTAATATAAAATATTTTGTAAGTTAAAATGTGTTTTTAGATACTGGATATTTATAATATATAGGCATATTTTTTTAATATTTATTTTTTTATTGGGCATAGGGCCTATCGTGTTGATTGTGCGATTTTCATTCATTATGTCTACTACTTGCGTTTATAGTTTATATTCACATGGTATCTATCACAATCTAGAATCTAGGCCTAATTAAATAGTTTTATTTTATTTTTAAAATATTTTTAAACAACTGGCACTAGAGTGGCAATCCACAAGAAAAAGAGTGGCAACAATAATATCTTTTAATAAAGCCACACCGGGGGGACAATCTGTCCGGTATTCAAAGGGTCGATTCTAGATTAGGTTCTAAATATTAAATATCATCCCGAACGTTTTAGTGCCAAGGCAAATCAAATTCACATAGAAGGTCTAGTAGATAGTAGATCTAGTCAGTGAGTCACAACTCAATAGACGAGTCACGAAATAATAGTTACATAATAATATACATTATACAACGTTACTGGTGATATACAACATCACGACACATAGTCAATTGGTGCTTTCTACTGTCACTCGTCTGTCACTTACTAACTAAAGTTATTATTACTATTAGACTATTATGTTTATTTAATATTTATTTATAGGCTACTCTACTGATTCGTATTGAACTCTACTCATTACTGCGCCATTAGTCTCACTGGACTCTCACTCTCAGTCTCACTCAGGCCACTCTCAGGATTTTAGTCCGATAAGTCAAACCCATTTCGTTTAGTTTAGATAGAAGTTAGGCAGTTACTAAAAGCATTAGTTTTTACCATGGCAGTTAATATTAAATGTTGAAATAACTGTCTAATAATTTGTATAGTTTAATGTATCAAATATACACTTACTTTCTATGTTCATTCATTCAATCATTGTTTATTTATATTCTGCAACTTTCGTTTTCACATAAATGTCCTTGGCCTCAAAAAATAACATTGTAGAATAGTTTCGAATTTATATTTTAAAATATTTATTTAATATGTATTTTACAAATATGTGCCTGATTATTATTTTCAAACTATGGTTTTAGTTGGGTTTTTTTTTCAAATTCTTTACAGATTTATATCTATTATTATTCAAGTTTCGACTTTAGATCTAGCTCTTTAAGCATAATATATCAACGTCAAAACGAATAATTTCAAAGTCAAGTCAAATTAAAACATGTGACTACTTATTTAAAATTATAATACTTAAATTTAAATGTATATTATAATCAGCACATTTAAATTTAAAACTTAGGAGGAGAGCAAGGGTGTTAAAGGACAAATATTGGCATATAATATTACATTGTGACTCCATGTGTCTTTGGAACAGAAAGGAAAAGATTATGGAGAACAGAGTTTCTTCCCAGCCCCCGAACGAAATGAAATTTATATAATTTATATAGAAAATATATACTTTTAATACTGTCCGCCCCCCCGAAGAAAGTCTACCGCCCCCCCCCCCCCGAAAATTTCAAGTCTCTTCCCCCCCCCCCCCCCCCCCCCCCCCACGGAGAAAAAAAGTCTGGAAGAAACACTGATGGAGAATGTTGCTTCTCGGGATAAATATTGGTACAAACATGTACATTCCCATGTAATTTCTTTGCAAGTGTAGACCAGTGTTTCTTTCAGGCATCTGTTTGGGGATGCACCGTTACTGTGTATATTTAAACGTGTACTAAAAAAACAAGAAGAAAAAAACGACACAGTTAAAATATTAATTAAATCAATATAAATCAATTATATTAGAAGGAATTAATTGGCATGTTGTATTTATGACATATTGTATCTATGACATATTGTATCTGTCACATGATGTATCTGTGACATATTGTATCTGTGACATATTGTATCTGTGACTTGTTGTGTCTATGACTATGACTTCTGCTTCAGAAATGGAATTTTTTTTTTTAAAGTCACAGCTAAATATAGGATAAATTATTTGTGATGTACTTTTAACTAGATTACTGAAAGCAGTTTATTGTTCTGGATACTGTTTAGTGGATATGTAACGAAAACAATAGAACCCTTGAAAAAAAACATCCGTTCATTGGTAGCTTGTAGCGTCCCTTGAGTGACCCCACAAGTAGTGTTCCTTGATTTTTTCCCCACATTTACTTGAGTTACTCCACAAGTAATTCATTGAGCTACCCCATGGTTGTATGTACTTAACCCCACAGAAATAGGCCTATCCGTGTATTTCCCCAAACTTTTCACACACAGTTAGAAATGTTTAATATTTGTAAATTAAAAAAAAATTTAAACCTAAGCTACAGTCATATTTTCAACATTTCGTTGATTTTAGTATTCATTTAAACTTACGTTTATAATATATATGCAAATGATTTTGATACGTCTTTTTGTACATAATAGTCCTCTAAAGGGCGATAAATCTAAAAATTGACACGATCGCCAAATGCGTATCGGTGCTGTTTGTTATGTTGTAATGTCTCCGCTTTAAATTATGATTTTCTTGAAAAACTAATTTTAGAATTGTCAATATTTTAAAGTGATTTCCCCTAATGTTGTTTTAGTACAACTTCCCTTTCTTCTCCCAAACTGGGAATTTTAAAACTTTCGGGCGTTATTCACAAAAAACCACTTGGATCTTTTATATACGACGTCTGCTTGTGACATATTTACGCGCCAAAACTCACAAGAAGATAGACACACACACACACAAACTTACAAGAAGATAGACACAGAAACACACACACTCACAAGAAGATAGACACACAAACACACAAACTCAAAAGAAGATAGACACACAAACACACAAACTCACAAGAAAATAGACACACAAACACACAAACTCACAAGAAAATAGACACACAAATTGACAAGAATATAGACACACAACCACAAAAAAGTCACCGTAAAGCACACGTCAATAGACTTATCTTTTATAATTCAATAGAATTATCTTTACACACAACACGTAAAAATATTTAGACATACACAGACTTACCATGACATACTGACAACACGTACACAAACACACATAGACGCAAACACACAAAGACATAGACACTGATATACATACAAACACACAGGAACAAAACATATAGACACACCCACATACACTTTCTGTTTACTGATACTGTCCCACAAATCGGTGCCCATATTAAATCCCCCCGCCCCCTCCCCCAGTCTTTTACTGGAATCCATAGGGCAAAAGAAAAAGATGCCAACCAAGGAAGACCTGGAGACGTGACCTGGAAGAAGACACATAGAAGATGGGATACACCTGGGGACAGTCGGAGAGACTAGCCCAGGACAGAGATGCCTGATGCCAAGAAGATTGGATACACCTGGGGACAATCGGAGAGACTAGCCCAGGACAGAGATGTCTGACACCTAGAAGATGGGATACACCTAGGGACAGTAGGAGAGATTAGCCAAGGACAGAGATGTCTAGTAATTTCTTACTAGAAATACCAGGAGGGACGACATGCTTAAATATCCCTACCCCGGCGCTCCGGGGTTAAGGGGGTGGGGAGGGGGACAATCCGTGCCTCACACTACCCTAGCCTCTTTTATAGATCTGGCATTAAGACATAGTGTTCTTTACACGTCTCAGTGAAAATTAATGGAAGTCTTGTGACGTCATCAGGTATATATGGAGCCCCGGATCGGAGAAAATCCTTTAAAAACATGGAGATGGAAAAAAAAATCTCCGTTGTTTTAAAGGTTGCATCTCGGCCAGTGGCGTAGGCAGGGGGGGGGGGGTTAGGGGGGGTCATAACCCCTCCCCCATAGACCCCTCGGTATAGATATATAAAGTATGAGGGGTGTAAATAGAAATTTGGAGGGGGGGTGCAAATCGAAAGTTTGAGGGGGGGGGGGGTGCAAATCGAAAGTTTGAGGGGGGGGGGGGTGCAAATCGAAAGTTTGAGGGGGGTGCAAATCGAAAGTTTGTCCCCGGGTAAAAATTGGACCCCCCCCCCCCCTTGAGACGATCCTGGCTACGCCACTGATCTCGGCATTTCATATTAAAAATCTATATAAATAGTTTTGTAAAGTAATGCACTAGTGCAGCATAGTCTTTAGTGTATCGGGAATATCCGTCAATTTTTGTTTTCTGGTAAAAAAAAAACGGGGAAAAAACTACCCACGAGGACATTTCTAAAATTCCCAGCTTGCTGCCTAGGAGAGGAAATTATCGTTCCGAAGACACGGTATATTTCCGGAGACTGTTACCATGAACTTTGATTATTCTTAACTTTATATAAAGGTGATAGGAATATTAGCAAAAGTCAGCTCTAAGTATTTATACCTTTATCTACAGTCAGTTGAGAAAACGCCCCTAAAACGATATGCCTGCCTAATCAACCGACCTATATTTAGCGTGGCTGCGACGACACCAAACCAATCAGCGGCTTCAACATAATGCAGGGCATTTTTCAAAGCCAATGATTGGTTTTCGATAGGAAGTGAAAAGTCTAAATTTAGTTTAAGGACTTGTATAAGAAGAGCCCAAAACTTTATTGTCACTCAGAGCAGCCAGCGACCTCCTAGTAGGTCGTTTCAAGGGAGAGAATCTTCTTCGTGTGGAGTTATCTGGCTTGGAGTGATATTTTACGTTACTGTGTGTAACATATTAGCTGTGATAAAGGAATAAAGTAATTTATAATCTGTTTTAAAATATTAAAGCATTTTTAAGTGTAAATTAAACTCAATAAATAAATTTGAATAGCATAAAGTCTGCGTGGAAATATTCTGCAACTTCTGAGGAAAAACAGAACGGGGGTATCGTTGAGAAATGTGCACTCATTAAAAACTGGTGAAACTAGACAGGTGCCAGCAATCAAAAGGAAGGGAGGATAGTAAAGAATTAATAATGAAACAACTCGTTAGCCCAGTCTGTGTAGCGTCCTGGCAGTAACAGGGTCCTAACTCACTGGAACCAACGGTCGGTATCTGGCGTTGAGACGTCTGCTCCGTGATAGTCCCGCAGCGGCGGTTCTGGAGCAAGGGAGACCATCGTCACAAGCGGCACTGGAACAAGGGAGATTACCGTCACAACAGGGGGAGTTAAGAGTCACAAGCCTCGGTGCCAGAACTCGGGCAGTGGGGGACTTCTTCAGTTCGCTACCACGATGCTGGATCGAGGTTGGATTTCGTTCCGTTCTCTGAAATAAAAACTAGGTCAATCAATTAGTACCAGTAATTAGTAATAGTCGTAGGAGAGTTAAGAGAACCAGCGGTCAGATCAGGTTTCCTGTCGTCACATAGCACATTGGGAGTGCAAGAAACGACCACAGGCCTGTCATATAGCACGGTGTTGGGCCAGGGAGCGCAAGAAACGACCAACATACAATTCTTATCTTGGCTGAAACATTCCCTCACGGATACTACTAAAAATTCTTCTGTGTTCATCATCATTTTTTTTTTTTTTTGGAGATTGGACTTACATTTTACCTAATTGTTCTGGCCAATCCTGGAATTATTTGTATAAAGTTTGTCAGTGAGGTATTTCTAGATTTAGTTGGGTGATTTTCTGTTCAATAGTTCAAGGATTCGTTACAACTTGTTTTTCAAATTTTTCTTCACCTTAGAAGAGATTATAAGTAATATTACGTGGTACTATAAGTAATATTACTTGGTACTTTTATTCTCTGGCGACTGTTCTTAATATTTCAAAGGATTTTATTCTAAGGAATCAGAAAATAGAACGGGTTAATTAAAGTAGGTCTTGTGCAGTTTTCTTGGATAATACAATAATTCAATGGACTATCTGCGTAATTGTATCAAATAATTTGAAAACAAATGGATAATTTTCACATGTTCTAATTGTGTTTAACAGGTTGAAAACAAATGGATAATTTTCACATGTTCTGTAATAAACTACATCTGAAGCAAAGCTCATTCATATTGCGGTTTGGGTCTGGCTAAAGTTAGCGCCATGCAGTCGGGAAACATTTCTGGCGCCCTTCACTTTTCCAACGGTTTTATTCCGTGTCACCACGACCCCAGGCTAGGTCAGGACCCCAGGCTGAGCCAGGATCCCAGATTAAGTCAGTACCCAGCTGATTGGCGCCCTGTGGCGCCCCCGCGTCCTTTCCCAGACAATGATGGCCGGGGTGCCTTAATCAGGCTTGAGTATCACGGGCGCCGTGAAAGTGCCAGGGCGCGGATCAGGCGCCCCATGAACGCCTTTATGGTGTGGGCCAAGGATGAGAGGAAGAAGTTGGCTGGGGAGAATCCAGACATTCACAACGCCGAGCTCAGCAAACTTCTGGGTAAGTTCTCAATGTTTTTCTTTAGCAAACTCCTGGGTAAGTTCTCGTTTACTTTCTTTAGCTAACTCCTGGGTAAGTTCTCGTTTACTTTCTTTTGCTAACTCCTGGGTAAGTTCTCGTTTACTTTCTTTTGCTAACTCCTGGGTAAGTTCTCCTTTACTTTCTTTTGCTAACTCCTGGGTAAGTTCTCGTTTACTTTCTTTAGCAAACTCCTGGGTAAGTTCTCGTTTACTTTCTTTAGCTAACTCCTGGGTAAGTTCTCGTTTACTTTCTTTAGCTAACTCCTGGGTAAGTTCTCGTTTACTTTCTTTAGCTAACTACTGGGTAAGTTCTCGTTTACTTTCTTTAGCTAACTCCTGGGTAAGTTCTCCTTTACTTTCTTTTGCTAACTCCTGGGTAAGTTCTCGTTTACTTTCTTTAGCTAACTCCTGGGTAAGTTCTCGTTTACTTTCTTTAGCTAACTCCTGGGTAAGTTCTCGTTTACTTTCTTTAGCTAACTCCTGGGTAAGTTCTCGTTTACTTTCTTTAGCTAACTCCTGGGTAAGTTCTCAATGTCTTTCTTTAGCTAACTCCTTGATTCGTTCTCAATATCTTTCTATATTAAGTTAATTCCTTGTTAAGTTCTGTCTGTCTTGATTAACCAAACTAGTTAGTTTAGATCTCGTTTATTTTATTAAGTCAATTAGTAATTTCTCGTTTTGTTTCTTGATTTAGCAAACTAATTTTTTAGTATATTGTTCTCGTTGCTTTTTCCCCTTTGATTGTGTAACCTCTTTGGTAAATTTTTGTTGCTTTCCTTAATTAAGTAAACTATGGTGATTCTTAATTGTTGATTACGATCATGGGGACACTTAGTTATGCAGATATTTAGGTGATTGTCTAATATTTTGATATTCTAAACATGTCCAATACGAAACGTCTTTTCCAGTGTTTCTTCCAGACTTTTTTCTCCGGGGGGGCACTTGAAATTTTCGGGGGGGCGGTAGACTTTCTTCGGGGGGGCGGACACTGTTAAAAGTATATATTTTCTATATAAATTATATAAATTTCGTTTCGTTCGGGGGGGCGGTAAAAATTTTTCGGGGGGGCTTCGCCCCCCCGAAGAGATGCCTGGAAGAAACTCTGGTCTTTTCCATCGATTTTAGGTAGGACGGGTCATTGTTTTTCCATATTCTTGTATAAGCTGAGAACAACTGAACACAGTGGTTTATTGGTCATTAATGTTAACATACTGTGTTGCTCGAGTTGATTGTGTTGGTTGAGTTGATTGTGTTGCTCGAGTTGATTGTGTTGGTTGTGTTGATTGTGTTTGTCGAATGCTGCTATATTTTGTAGGTCTAACTAACTCCTAAATGTCAACACATTTCGGTTGTGTTTTTTTGCATACGTTGTAGATCTAGCCTAATCCTTAAAGAAAATAATAAGATAAATCCTCCCTAAATCCCGGCATTTTTCTATGGTCACATCTTTACAAGAAAGGATCGAATCATTTTTAGAAGCATATTGCGTTAGTGATGAAGCCTTTCCAAACCTGAAATATTAGTGCAAAACTTATACCGCAGGGTGACGTAGTTGGGGCAAGATTCTTGAGGAATTAAACCGGGAACAATAGACCGAAAAACTTGATTGTATCTTGGCTTGGTGAGTCTCAGGCACCTCGTACCTGGCTCACGGGATATGGCAGGTTGTAACAGGTTTAATGGTTGTATCCCGTTTTATAAGGTTTAGTGGTTATACCCTGCCGTACCTGGTTCATTGTATATGGCAGGTTGTAACAGGTTTAATGGTTGTATCCCGTTTTATAAGGTTTAGTGGTTATAGCCTGCCGTACCTGGTTCATTGTATATGGCAGGTTGTAACAGGTTTAATGGTTGTATCCCGTTTTATAAGGTTTAGTGGTTATATCCTGCCGTACCTGGTTCATTGTATATGGCAGGTTGTAATAGGTTTAATGGTTGTATCCCGTTTTATAAGGTTTAGTGGTTATAGCCTGCCGTACCTGGTTCATTGTATATGGCAGGTTGTAATAGGTTTAATGGTTGTATCCCGTTTTATAAGGTTTAGTGGTTATAGCCTGCCGTACCTGGTTCATTGTATATGGCAGGTTGTAATAGGTTTAATGGTTGTATCCCGTTTTATAAGGTTTAGTGGTTATAGCCTGCCGTACCTGGTTCATTGTATATGGCAGGTTGTAACAGGTTTAATGGTTGTATCCCGTTTTATAAGGTTTAGTGTTTATAGCCTGCCGTACCTGGTTCATGGTCTGGGGCAGGTTGAGTCAGGTTTTGTGGTTTTATCTCGTTATATCAGGTTCAGTGGTTATATCCCGCTATATCAGGTTTAAGGTTTTAAAAAAAGCACTCTTCAAAAGATTTTTCATTAGCACTTCTTGAAGCCTCCATATTAAGCTCTGTCGAGTTGTGTTATTAAGCTCCGAGTACGTAGCCCAACGTTAACATTAAGCACCGGTCTGAAACCCGAAGCTAACATTAAATCTCAAACACATAGTTTAATGCCTTGTATTATGCTCCGTATTTGGGCATTGGAGTGTTTTTTCTTTAATTATTTAATATCTCTCCTTGAACGAATGTTCTAGATCCGTGGTTATACTGGGACAAAAGACGAAATAAAGCTAGTAGGGGGCGGGGGTTGGTTGTTTATTTAAAATATTTTCGTTGGTGAAATGGGTATTGGATTCAAACCCTTCAGCATTTTAAAGATTTTTTTTTAAATTCTGCTTCTAAAGCAATAATTATATTTTGAGAAGGGGAGGGAGTTGTCAGCTGTTTTTAATTTATTTCCTTTTTTGCACGCTTCAAATCTTCTATAGCCTGTGTCATTAAAATGTAGATTAAAACTTTGTGTCCGTATTCTCTCCCCCACCTATATCACATGTTAGTTTCACAGGTACGATTTTATCACCTGTGAGCTTCTACACGTCAAATTGAATCACCTGTTAGTTAAAAGCAGGTAAAATTGAATCCCCTGCCAGTTAATGCAGGTGATAAAAGAGCATACCTAAACCATACAACAGAACAATATGAAACTCCCCACACAACACTGTTGAGGTTTATATATTTTCACTAAGTCTAGCATAGATGATAGTCATTTAGACAGATCAACTCTACTCCATCTGCCCTGTGTGTCTTGGGCACGAACGGGAAAAAATTAAGGATCATATATATTTCTAGGAAAAATCCGGACCCGTTAAATATTAATCACAATTCATTGTGGTAAAATAAATTTGCGGTTATTAGAGTTGATATTAATTAACAACATATACAGTTAACTCCGTTTATTATTGAAATAAGATATACATCTCCACCCTAATTTAGCTTACCGTTGTACTGTGTGGGTAATAGAAAATAAACAATAACTTAAAAAGATTATACTTATGATACTTTAAAAAAAACTTTGTAGGATTGCCCTTTTGTAATGTATGACTGCTAACGTCGAATAGCAAAATTATATTTTCATACCCTGTCAATTTCTAAAGTTCGATCGCTAGTTTAACCATAATAAAATTATTTTATCTAATAGTTTCTTCAGATAAAAGTTAGTTTTAGTTTTACGCAGTGTTTCTTTCAACTTTTTTTCCGTGGGGAGGGGGTGGGGGACTCTTGAAACTTTCAATTGGTGAGGGGGGGGGACACTGGTAAAAAAAAAATTTCTATATAAATTCTATTTCGTTCGGGGGTGGGATGGGGCGATAGACGTATTTCAGGGGGCATTCGCCTTTCCCCCCGCCCCCCCCCCCCCCCCCCCCGAAGAGATGCCTGAAAGTCTTGTCGGGCTGCGACCAATATTGTGCTGATTATAAAAACTAATAAGAATTTTAAAGGAAACTGTCTCTTTTTTTCCAAAAAATAATAAATAAGAACGCTTGCTAAAATTAAACCGGAAGTTCAATACAGAATCAGTTATGTAGTGACACGTTCTGGTAGTCAAATAAAATGAAAAAAAAATTGTTATTTCGCAAGAAGTCACTCAATTGGGTGAATTCTTCTTTTGATATCGACGCATTATCTTCGCGCGATCGACGTTGTGAAAAAAACTTTTAACCTCCTGATCGAATGTCTCCATGTACCCGATCAATGGACAGAACAATTAGTTCAACTGTGATTTCACGCATCAACAACTTTAAGACGTGACGTTACTTGTTGAGCAAGGGGTGTCGGGTTTCTTCACAGCGGTGTATCACTGGCGTCAACCGGGCGTTGTATTGTAGACACTGAACAACTGTCTGGATATACATAAAGGCCTATAGTTTCATTATAGATATATAAATTTTTACGATTTTGTAATAACAATAATAATTATTATTATTGTAATTACATTTATAATAAATAAAATAATTTAGATAATTATATACTTTATTTTATAACCGTAACCTTTTTTGCATTGGACTATATTAGTATACATATATTTATACATATAGGCCTATATATATATATATATATATATATATATATATATATATATATATATATATATATATATATATATATATCAACAACATTGTGAGCTGTACCATTTTAAATAAGTATTTTGTTGATAGCTTTCAACATTTTATAGTCAGCCTAAGCCGGATGTACACAGTGGGGCATTAAGTCTATTATATCTACCACACAATGTGTAAGCTATTACTGTGTCGTCTATTCTACCAGCTTTATTCTCTTGTCGGATCTCACATCAAACTTTGATTGATATTTCCTTTCATGTTTTCTTTGAATCTGTACACAAAGAGGTTGATTAAGTAGTTGAACAAAGTGACGCCCCAGTTCTGGTTCTCGCTAGTTCTGCGTGGCTGACTTGATTGCGTACAGATTCAACATGGCTGACTTGATTGTGTACAAATTTAACATGGCTGACTTGATTGTGTACAAATTCAACATGGCTGACTTGATTGTGTACAAATTCAACATGGCTGACTTGATTGTGTACAAATTCAACATGACTGACTTGATTGTGTACAAATTCAACATGGCTGACTTGATTGTGTAC